AAACTATACATAAATTTGGTTCGGTACTTTGTTAGCACAAAGAGTAAATTTCTCTCTTTTTTTCCCTCTTCTCTACAGGGTAACATGCCTTGACAATACAGGCCACCATTAAGGATGATGCATTCTTTTTGTTACCTGACAGAAATATTGCAATAATCTCTGCTAAAAATTGTTAAAAGCAAATCCTGTGACACTTCTCCAAATTCTGAAGGAATAAGAACGTAAGTGATTTGCACCTCTAATAATAAGATATGAAACTCTGCTCTCAAATGTCAATGGCTGCAGGCTATTGATTCATTTTGTATTCAATAAATACATTCATTTCCTCTAAGTATGTCTTTTGCATATTATAAACACTCACTTTTAATGGTAATCAGTTTTCTTAAAGAAAACTGAAGATAGATTTTGACATTTAAAAATGTATGTGTTAAACTTTAACCACACTCACAGGAATTACAACTTTAGGCCAAAAAAACCAGCATGCAAAGATCACTACCACCAGGTGCTTCCTGGCATTCCTACAGAATGCCTAGCCAAATTAGTGGGTATCACACAGGTAATCCAGGGTGCCACAGGAATCCTCTTTGGAATGACAAATCTAGCTAAGGTAGAGCTGCAATAACTGCATCACTCTCTGCTACAGGCTGCTTCCTCCTTTCAGACTCCTGCTCCTCAAGAGTTGTCCTCAGCTCAGACTCACTATGATCTTCCCCACAGGCAACACCATTATTGCCACTGCTTCCCTCTGCAGCATCTTAATTGTCTCCAGCCATGAAATGAGCATCTAAAATTGTGTGACAGCATTACTTTGCGACAAACTTGGCCTTTGTAAATTGTGTTTCTATCCAGTATCCCCCAGCAGCATAAGAGTGGTTCCCTGAAACTGAGACTGTTCAGTAACCTCCTCCAACTCCTCCTCCTGTGCTTTTGCTGGCCTGAGGGGCACACACTACATGTACTCTAATCCCATGTGTTGTCTGCAACAGTGAAACTCAGCTTGCTTTGCTAAAATAAAACAAATCCCCCAGAAAACCCACCAGCAAAAAATTAGCATAATTTCAGATTTTCATGAAGAAAATCTAACTTAAATTTATAGCTCTTCAGAATTTCTTTCTATGTCTAACTCATCAATATATTCATACCTTGCAAGACAGCATCAGATCTGCAGAGAATTCTAATGTTATTTGCAAACTTATTTATCAGCATTAGAAACACTACTGAGAAATACCTGGGTTTTTTCTTTCAGCACTTTTCTTTCACTTCATCATTTATGAGCCATCATTTTCCTGTGTATGCAAATATCAGACCATATCACAGGTTTCTTTGTCACATAAAAACAGATCCAGAATTTTTAAATTAAAGTTACTAGTAACAAACACATGGCTTAACTCATCTGACAAAGTAGCAGTTAATTTTTTTCCATATGCTCAGAATTTGAATTAACTACAGAGCATTCAGCATTCAGAGCATTTCAGCACTAGTGAAATAGTAGCAGATCTCCAGAGTGAATCAATTGGTGCTCAGAATCTGAAACATCTATCTGGGGAAAAAGCATCATTTCAGGCTAAATCTTTCCTGGTTCTGAAAACTGAACTCCCTCCCATGAGCAGCTGTGCATCCTGAGCAGATTTATTTCAAAGTGTATTTATGATCTAAGTGAAAACTTTAATACATGCACACTTAAATTAAAATGGTATTCCTTTTTTTTTTTTTTTGATAATTCTCTTTTCTAGTAGTCAAACTGAAGCACATTCACACCTTAATATAGGTTTTGTAATCTGTAAAACTGTAAAAACAAATTATATTTAAAGAAATCTAAAAACTTCCAAAACAGGAGGTCAAAGATATTAAAAGATTAAAATACATCCAGTATGGTAAAACCAGCAATTTATTAACAAAGTCCTAGGGTGTGCTTTGAGTTACTCAGGGGTTTTGTGTACCAGTCAATCCATCAATAACAACCTGAATAACACAAAATACGTTTTTTTCCTAGAAGATTATAAATAAATATGAGACGTTTTTCCATTAAGGAAGTTACTCGCAGATATCTTTTTAATGCCATCAGTTTTTCTAATTTAAATTCTATTATTAGAGAATCATTAAAATTCCAAGCAGGTAACTCAGTATACATGAAATGGGACATGGGACAGGCCTTTTGTGACACAATTAAGCCTGTTCCTTTCAAGGGCAACATCACAGAAGGTGAACACTAATTTTACTAACATAGTAAAGGAGGATGAATGACTGTGGGAAGGAAGAAAAGCAAAAGCAAATGAAAAAGGGCAACTCTTTTTCTTTTTTTTGCTGTGAAGTTTGTCATATTTAACTTTAAATTTCTAAATAGGTTATTACAGGGACAGCAATTTGCATAAGAAGATTAAAGATTACATGAAATGACAATGACTGCTCTGCAGCTATAATGTGAACAAAGCAAAAACAGTCTTTGCACCTGCCAAATGAACTTTAATGAAATGATTAATGACATCTTGGTAATAGCACATGATGCATAAATTACCCTCAACACTAGGTGTCAGTTTTCACTTTGGAAAATTGACTTAAAATGTGTGCACTTCTCCATATGAAAGCCAGAGTTCCAAGCAAATTAAAAAGGAAAGTTCACAACATTCATTTGCTTCACTCTGAAGTACTTCTTCAGAATACAGCAAATAGTTTTTATCAGATAGGAGAACTAAAACCACCATGAAATTATAGCTCAAACCAAAACAATTAAATATTTTTGAGAATAGCTGCTCTTAAGAAATTCAAATCAACACTGACTTATTTGGCTCAAACTACAGGTCAGGAAGCACTAAGGATACCATACATTGGATTTAGCTTACACCAAGTATTAGTAGCTATAGAAACTGGTATCTCATTTAATAAATTCATGAAAGTATACATGCAATTGCAATATGCATATTAAAAAATCCATGCAATCAGTTTTTTGTCACCCAATACTTTTCTTAGTACTAACAGCCACCCTTTCCATTACTTCACGTAACAGATCAGAATGGAAGTAGAAAGGTTTACTAACCCTAAAGAAAGTACTCTTGAATATTAAGACTGATGCACACCAGGACAAGGTAAGTCATATGAAAAAACAGATGCAGCCTGTGGATTTTATGGACAGATGCCAATTACTTGCATAATTTTTGGGAAACCTGAGTAGTTGTGCACTGCAGCTCAGATCATCTACCAACTAGCACAATGCTAGAGGAAATGCCATTATTTCAACTAACTATTAGTTAATACTGAGTTTAGTTTATACTAACTCAACAAACCCAGGAAGGAGTGGACAAACTTCATTTTCACCCTGAATAGAGGAAAAACAAAAGGCTGACTGGAAGTTAGGGGTTTTTCCTTTTGTTTTCTTTCTCTTAGAGAATTATCTCCTATTTTGTTGCTAAACGACAATAATTTAGTCAACAGAAAAAAGAAGTTGCCCTGGGAAAGGTGTGGTTGGCTAGGTTGGATATGAGCTCTCTCTTGCTCTCTGGGTTTTGGAGGAGAATGGCCGGATCTACTGCCTGGGGGGGAATTCGCTGCTGCCACGGCAGAGGTAATGGTGAAATGAGCAGGAAGCCATTTGGGAGTATGTTTGTTCTGTAGGATAGCGACTAAAAAAATTATTTGGCTATAGTTACACAATCCTATGTTTAAATTAAAACTTAAGTTACGAAGAGAAAATACTAAATGAAACAAAAAAGGCAGGAATAAGAAACTGCCTATCTTCAAAGTAAGCATCAGAGAATGAAGAATGACTGCTGTTTTACAGATTAGGTGTGTTCCAGTTTACCAGAAAATAAGTAAGATAATGTGATAATATTCTATACTATCGTTTTACATTTACTAAAAAACAGGGCTGCTTTCACATTATGTACAGTCAGAAAACAGAAAAAGCATTACACCTTTAAAACACAGTATTAAAGAGAAAGAGAAATTTGCAAACAGGCTTAAAAAGATTTCATTTTGAGCTTATTTGGAGCTTAAACCATTTATACAAAAAAATTACTCACACATCAAAATTATGTCCTATGCTTTCTCATGTGATCTATAATGAATGTAAACAACTTATGAAGCATCAGTTTGGTAATCAGCAAGATATTAACATAAAATGTGTATTTCCAATGCCCCATTCTTAAAATTTTAAAATTATATAGAAGAGTTAAGTGCAATTTTGAGAGAAAAAAACATACTTGACTTTCTTAGGATTATTAACAGAAAAGAACTAGGACCCTGGCGTAGGTAAAGTAGGTAACTAATGGTCAAATATAAATTGTCATACTTCCTAAAATTATGTTGAATCAGGCCTGAAACCAGTCTTAAAAAAATAAATACATCAAGAACAAAAGATGCAAAGATGTAAGTGGAGTTGGCTTATGAATGACATAACAACTAGACAGATACTAACTTTAAAAACTGCTAGAAGAAGTCAAGGAGACTCTCAAAACATACAGTTTAATACTTAGCCCTTTTTATTTCGATCCTGAAAGACTTTCCCTGATTAAAAAGGGAATTTTTGTTTTAAATGTTCATTGATGGTGGTATATCAGTTCCTTTTCATGTGTCTAACTTATTTTTGCGATATAAAATAGGGACAAAATGCAGTTGTATTAAGTCTTCCAAATTTCATGACACCTTCTCCATTATATAAAATAATTTTTTTACTTTATAGAAGGAACAGCAATGAACTACTACTTTGAATTACTTAGAGCAATCCAAGTGTGAAACCAAAAATAAAAGTATTAGGATACTTGGTAAGAAGTTGAATGCTATTCTTTCAAAATAGCAGAAATTCATGGTAAGAATCAGGATGGAGAGTTGTTTTAAGTAAATTAATTGCACAGAGGTGAAAATTTTGAAAGACATCAGGAGCCAAGTCACAAAGTGAACAAAAATGAAAAATCCTCTGAGAAGTTCCACAGAAACTTATTTAAGTAATAACAGAAACCCCCAAAAATATTGTCTATTAAATAAAGGTTCTGGAATGTATGCTTTACCTTAACAACAGGATTAAGCAGAACAACGCCCGACTTCTTTGTAATAACTTGCTTTGTTGTGTAATGATGTTCTATGAGCTGAGGAATAGTTGGAAACCCAGTTCCCTCAAAACGATATTGATTCTGTATGGACACAAAAGGAAAACCTTATTTCTCTATAAGCAATAGTTTGAACAAGAAACTGCAAAAGTGCTTGACCAAACTTTCTTCACTAGTAACCACAAAAAAAAAAATGTACACTTTATTTATAGAGTTATTTTAGATTCCTTTTCTGACCGATTGGATAGCATTTATACTAACTTAACCTGAATGATAATTATGAAAATGATAAATTAATAAATTCAAAATTGCTTCATCAATCACTTAAGGCAATATGATAAAATAACTCTATTTAAACTATTTTAACTATATAAACTCTTAATTTAAATAGATAGGGCTGTTAAAATCACAGCTATTACAGAGTGAAATAAAAATATTGTAAACCAGAAAAAACAACACCAACTTCTTATTTATTTCTAAAAATTACAGCAAGCAAACTAAAAAATATATATGATAAAATACTACAAGAGATAAAATAAACAGGAGATATGCAATGCTATCCTAATCTCATCTTTCTTCATTTATTGTCTCATAAAATTAGTAAAACCCTGCAATAGTTTATAGAATGCATGACTAGTCTTTAATAAAGAGTATTTATCAGGAATGTCTAAACAAGCTAGAGACAAAGGCAGGTGATACACAGGCTTCAAACTGAAGTTGGGCAGGACCTTGCAGCTGATTGTGAAACACAATAAAGTCTCCTGCTTTAGTAAGTCTCAGTATCTACAGAGAGCTTTTCCCACAAGGCAGTAGCTGCCATAAGCCAGTCTGACAAAGCAGCAATGAACAAGTACTGCAATTTAAAAAACTCAGAGCACAGATGGTGATTCAAGTTCATTTACACAAATGGGCAATGAGCACCTCTACCACTGGCATGGTAGAGCTCCAAGGGCTCCAAGGGCTGAATTCCTTGCATAGTGCACGCTAAATTCACTATTTCCTTAAGGGTTAAAGCATTAACTTCCTGAAACGTGTCATTACTGTTGGTTAAGACAGCAGGGTCTTGTCAGCTGTTTTTAACATTCACAGATCTCTATCATAAAAATGTTTCCACAGTCTGAACGTTTTGTTGTTTATTAAATAGTGACTCAGCTTTGATTGATCATTAACACTAGTTCCCATTCCTTTCAAATAAGCTCCTTCATACTTCTGTGCTGATCCAAAAAACTTGCTCTGAGTCTCCTCAGCACAACCACCACTACTGCCTGTTACTTCCTCATTCCAGAGCCAGCCACTGCCCATTTGCTTCCATTTACGTAAAACCTTTAGAGAAGCCAGTGTCCTTTCATTCTGTGTGTTTACACCTAATCCTGACCCTTACTAAGATCACTAACAAACCAATACGTTAAAATGGCACAGCCTCAAATAAGCAGAAGTGAAAACAATGGTAGCCTTGAATGACAGCAGTAAATTTTGATGCCCAAAGCTGAATGATTAATTAATTTATCATGTAGTTGTATCAAGATTAGCTTTTAAAGTAATCATAAAACCAGACACTGAACACTTATACAATTAAAGGATTGCTGTTAAAACTGATGTCTTACTCTAATCTTCAGTACTTAATTCAGAAGCAAATATGGAAACCTGTCAATGATCCAAGAGTCAGCAACTGTTTCTTGACCAGTCAGAAATCTAATTCCACATAGTTCATATCAATGTAAAAAACAAACAAATCCTTTGTACTAAACTCTCCTAAAACTTGTCTACAAAAATGTTCATTAATAAATCCATCACTATATGACCCTAACACTCCAAATACCTATTTTCTAGAACTTAATAATTCTTTTTCTCATTCTCAGAAAATTCACCCCATAGGAATGCATACAGAGGACGGAACATCTTTAAGGACAAAAAAAAAGTGTTAGCTTCCATGACTGACAAGAAAATCTACTACAAATTAATCCCGAGAGCAGATGAACATAATGCTTTATTAGTAAATGTACAAGCAGATTAAATATCTTGACCTGACAATGCTGGGACTGTCCAGGCTATGCAACATTAAATAATATTAGTCTCACATTTCAAATTTAACTGCTCAGAGAAAGTACAAAACTATGGAGAGAAAGATAGCTTCTTTTGTTTTGTTTTGCTTTGGTGGAAACCTCCCCACACACACACAACGGAAGAGAAATCTGATTGGCAGGCCCTTAAATAATAATTGGAACTTGGACTTGAAAGTACAAGCTATCTTTTTCAAGATCTACTTGCACAAACAATGATTTGCACAAAATTATTTCAGTTAGACCACATATATAATGTGCTTTTATTTCTGCTGGATCAGATCAGGGTGCACCAAGCACCTTGTAAGACTCTAGGTATAGGTAATTTTTTTACTTTTATTTTCTCATTTTGCACTCTGACACATCAAAATACTTTAAGGTCATACAATCAAAATAAAATAAACTGTGTGTTCACTTTTACAAGGAAAATTCTAGGTGATAACTAATGAACACTCTCCAGTGTGACAAGTGTCTATAATCACTAATCCTAGAGAAGCATTCCAACCTCTGTGAAGTTTGAAAAATATCACTGCTTCTCGAAAGAAAATAAACCAGGTACACATTGAGTTACCCCAGGCATGCTGCATCATCTGGGGAGTCACACAATGAAATTCCCTCAGTGTATCACCATTATGCAATTAAATTGAGAATTCTTCTATACGTGGGAAACTTTATTACAAGAGACTGAAGAGACAACACTACTGAATCAAAACTGAGAATGATTTGCTGCGATTTCATACTTCAATAAATATTTCTAGCAATGTTATGGGAACTGTCACATTTTTAATAAGTTTAAAATTCTCCAAGGTAAAAAGAAAAATGTATCATTAAAAAAACCAAGCAATGCATTAAGAGGAATAAAAAACCCCCTACTGCATAAAGGTAGATGATAATTAATATGATGTTCATTAAGTCATCAATTTTTTCCTCAGAGCAACAAGGGAGTCAATTCTAGTCCTTAGAAGCATACACACTGTACAACATCCAAAAGTGTTTGTGTAATACTGAAAAAACAAGAACCACAGGACTAAAAAAAATAAGCATTGCAAATGCAACAGGAACTTCAGTTCCCATGTGTATAAAAATAAACACAGATTACTTTCTTCTGTATGGTTGTTTCCATTTTTCAGGAAGATGCAGTGCTGTCTTTCCAGTCTGAACTAGAAGTAGCCTAATTTGCACCAGCTATGAAAATGGGTGACCAAGTAATCAATAACCAAATGTAAATGCATAAATAAAGAGTAACAATTTCCAGATTTCAAAATATTTACAGAAATATCTTGCCTTTTCAGTATAAAACAAAAGATACTGAATAACCTGATACTTCATACTTTTCCTTTGTTTCCCAGAATGACCTTTACCCCCAGTTCCAGCACTGACGGAAATATTTCCAACAGCTTTAATATTTGCACATAAAGGCTATATCCATTTGCTATAGTAAACTATTTAGGTCCTAAATTGAATATTCAGTACTATATCAGAGACGTACATCAGCATATTGTATGATAAAGTGTCTCCGTTGTCCATCTGAAAACACAGAAAGGACATATTCACCAGGTTTCCCGTGGCTCTCTCGCACCAAGAAGTCTCCTTGCTGTTTTAACAGCTCCTGGGCTTCTATTCTTGGAATTGCACCATGATACCAGTCTTGCTCAGCCAATGGTTTCTCAGTGGTTGAGATTACATCAAAGAACTTGGGAAAAATATTGAAGAAAAATGTTACTATAATTGTACACTTATAGAGTTTACTAGTACATGGAAAGTATCACAAACAACAATAATTTCTGTTTTATGTATCTAAATTATGTATTTCTATTAACCAACAGAATCAAGGCTCTTACAGCTCTTACACTTGGCACAAAAGCATATTGATCACCGTCTTTTCTATTTACCTGGAAAATCAACATATCAAAAGCAGAAGTTTAAGGAATCATCCATAAAATGATGCAATATTTTTTATCTGGCTTACTATTTTTTGTAAGGCATACTGACCAACTCCTTCTCACACATTCTGACATACTACTTACAACTGAAAATAATTTCTTTATCCAGACAGAAACTTCTCAGGCACAAAACCATAATACTCATACAAAGCACTTGAATCGGATAAACTGTTTTCACAGAATTTATCAATTGTATCCCAAATCAATTAAAAATTATGTGTTTTCCTAGCATGCACCCTGTAGTGCAGCGTACACACCTGGATGTAGTGTCCTTATGATAAGACACAAAGATTATAAGGAATTGTCTTCACTACATGGAATTGGCTGCAAATGGAAGCTACCAGCTATAAGTGGGAGCTAATCAGTTTTAATCTATGATTTCACACATTAATTTAAACATGCCTACATTATTTAACAGAACACTGAAGAAAACTTTATATTTTGTCACTGACCACTTCTGATTTATTTGTTATGAGTAGGAAGACAAGCCCTCATTTAAGCTGTATGTAATTCAAAAACATTGCCAGAGCTCATAGAAATTCTCAGAGCCAGAGTGGTAAAACTGTGAATGACAACACAGTTCACACTGTGAGTAGAACAGGTATGTGAATGTTCTCCAGCCTCCTGAATTGCACCTAAGTAACAGCATGGAGATCTACATCTCAGTGAAGGACAATTAAACAGATGCAAGCAAAGCAACACCATTCTGAATTAACCTCTGCTATTGCTCTGCCCTGGTAACAACCCAGGCTGGAGGCCATCCATACATTTAAGGTTCTTCTCAGAAGATACTTTGATTATAGTGCCACACCTAGTCCAAAAAAACACTAGGAATGGTCTCGGACTCTGAGAGTGGAAATGAGCAGACCCAAAAATGGGAATCTAAACAGAAATTCTTGTTTCCAAATATCTGCAATTCTTTAGTACTTGGATATATTTTTAGCTGTTAAAAATGTCTTTGTTGGCTTCTGGCTGCCTAAGTTATACCTCAAAGAACCAGTTTAGTCCAAAACTGATGGAAAACTGGAGAACATATTTAAGAACCTGACAGACCCTTGTGCTCTCAGATATCAACAGAAAGAGAGAGAATCATCATGGATTAAATTCTCATCAAGGAGAATTTCAGACCTGAGATTTGAAACAAGCACTTATAACCAATATGTGATCACTAGAAAAAGTGTGGTCTGTTACAGAGTCAGAGATAGGAAGCACTATTTAAGAAATAACTACAGCTTGAACACAAATTGCACAGTTTTTAGAGGCAAAAGCTCTACTCCAATGTTATGTGTTTATCAGCACAATGAGCTGCTAAAAAGCAGAGATACTGATTGTCTAAGAAGGTAGTCATATCTTTCAATTTCATCAACAGTTAAAAAACATCCCAGGTGAAAAATGTTCACCATTGTTAAATGACAATATGACATTTTCTTTCACAAATTTCTAAAAGAAAGAGAAAAGCTTTCAAAATGTTAAGACAATGTGATTTACTTAAATATTTATTTCAAGTAAATATTTTTTTAATTTATTTATTCAGAGATTCTGAGCTCGACTTGAAAGAAAACCTAAACCTCTGTTATATTCAGAGCAGCAAACCCTTCAAGAGGAGCACATTCCTACCTGAGAGGGAATGCTCCTAAGGATAAAAGTACAGTATAGGGTTACTTCATGGCCTTCATGAAAGTTTAAGAAAAAAAATCAACCTGACATGCAATTTATTTTATAGCCTCAAAAGGAAGCCACCAGATTGTAACATTTGCTTATGTACAAACTGGGTGCAGGCTGAGGAACCAAACAATCAGGATCAAATCGCAAAACAAAGTATCTTAAGAGCCTTTATGACAAAAGAAAAAGTTTATGGAAGGAAAACAGAGCATTTTAGACATAGATAACAATGGTATTGTCTATAACTCTCCCGTAGATTTTCCCCCTCTTTGAAATTTGACTAAAGTGTTATCTATTACTTCAGAAAGCAACAGTGGAAATTCCATGGAGTTCTCTGTTGATTGTTTTTCACTTCACCTTACCTTGATTTATCATATCAAGGTGGTTTTTCTGATGAAGTAAGTGGCAATTACTCTTGAATGTTATTAAAATCTCATTCTTTTTATGAACAAGTCTTCTGATTCTAACATATTGTTTCTATGATATAATATTGACCCTAACTTGCTAAAGAATGAAACATGGCTGAAAGCCCAGAAAAAAACAGTACCAATGCACAATATATAACTACTTTAATATTGATTTCAACTCAGTTTACCACCATTAGTACTAATATTTCTACTGCATTTTATAGTTCGAATTACACGATAGATTGGTCTTTAAGGAAAACAGGAGGAAAAAAAAAAAGCTACCTGCACAAAATTAAATTCCCACCTCTTTTCTTTAAACTCTACTTAAATATCATCCAGCAAGTTAATATGACAAGTTTATATTCTAGACTTTAATGTTTTACAATTTCATTTGGGGGCTGGATCTCTTGCTCATTTGTATGTACACTTACAGAAGCATTCCATGATTCAATAGCCTAAAGGAAGAAATATTGCTTCTAGGATTTTTGTTGTTAATTCTGCTGGAAGGTAACAATTACTAACCAAACCGTGCAGAAAGAAAGGAACTCACACTGCAAATTTCAACTCTCCCTCTTACTTTTTTTTTTTTTTTTTTTTTTTTTTTTCCTTTTTTTTTTTTTTTTTTTTTTTTTTTTTTTTTTCCATATTTCACCCATTGTTTATTGGGTGAGGCTGGGGGGGGTGTGTCCTTATATATTTAATCACACTTTTTCTTCTACAAGGAGATGTATGTCTCGTGTATTTGATCATGCTCCTCATGGATCTAGTACTGTCCACTTTCCTTATATTGAGCCCCTTTCTCTCTCCCTGCTTAACAATCCATTAAAACATATGCTCTTCTCCAATAGTAAAAAGAAGCAGTTCTCAGCTGCTTCCCTTATTTCAAGAAAAAAAAAACTGAGACAACAGCAATGTGTCATTTCTAACTCAAAAAAATTGTGCATTATTCATTCCTTCACTTGCACTAACAATTAAATAAAAATAATGGGAATGATATTTTATTATACTTATGTTCAATATTGTATTTTTGTATATATTCTGAATGCAAATGTTCAGTAATCCCTTATTTTCAATCTTTGAGCAAACAAAACATTTTCTCAAGGTACTTTTTCTTTTACAGTGTAAAAGAGTAGCCTGACACTAATGAGAATCCAAAGCAATAAATTTAGGTTGACAATTTAAGACATACCCTATGGAATATTCTCTCTGTGTACCTGGCTCATTCCCACATGCTAATAACATCTGAAACAAGTATGAATTCCACTTATTATCCTTTGAAGAGTAAAAGAAAAAAATCCTGTTAACAAAAGCAGATGTTTGTGTCAAGCTCAAATGTGTCATACAAAAAAAGAAAATATGCAGAAGGGCAGAAGCTGGTATTCATGATGCAATCTGTTCAGACTCTTCATTCAGATTATTCACAGCATTTTATTACCAGTACACAAAAGTTACCCCCACTGTTGTGTTTCCTCTCCTCATTTGATTAAACTTACATCTCTTGCTGTTATAGAAAATTGGATTGCATTTTGTCCAAGAAAAACTGCCTGAATCCTCTTTCTTTCTCTTCAAGCAACACTTTTTTCCTGTATTACCTTCTCATTCTGAGAGCATGCATAGAATTTCAGTGTCAACACACAAAACCTCCTGCTTGCTTTTAGAATGGCAGAGTTTCCCTATGGCTTTTTCCAGATGATATACAAAAAAATTAGTCCTCTCAAATTTATACAAACAAAATTCAATTTATCCACCAATTAAAAATACTAGACAGTGTTTATAATATAGCACCACATTTAAATAATGATATTGTTCCATTTCTAAAGTTTTAATATATTTAAAAATTAAATACTTAGAAATACTTAAAAAACTTTAAATACTTAAATAATTTGTAAACAGGTAGTATCACATTTTAGACTAGACTATATGAGATGATCAGTACTGGTTCTTTTCTGAATCTGCTTTGACATCCTTTTTTTGTACTGGTCTATTTTAAAAAAACTAAAATTTTAAATGAATGTTAATATTACTTTATAATATACATTCAATAATCACTTTGAATATTGATGCATAGTAAGCTTTAAGTACTAGTTTATATATTTAGCAATTAAAATTATTATGTAGTTGTCAGCAGGAAAGAGATGACCACATTTAATAGCTAAGTACTAATTCGTGAAGCAAATTTGAGCTGTATAGATATGGTCAGCTTTTCTAACACAAAATCACTAAATCAAAATACAAAGCAAAATTGAAAATTGGCTAGTTTATGTATTCTAACTCTGAAGTAATTTAGTTGTCATTTAGGCGACAGGTAATCAAGATTGCACTTGTTACTCAGATTTTACTTTCTGACTCAAATGAACCAATGCCAATCTTACTTCTTACAAATATATTCCAAGATTTCACCAGTCCTATCTACCATATATCTACAGCCAGATTTACATCAGCTTCCATGAAATGAAAACAGTGTGGCACATAGACTACTGAAAATGACACTTTAAGCCAACTGACATTTTGACATTGACTTTCCCTGATTTAATCTAAGCATTTTATTTTTATCTTCCTCTTGAGATATTTTTTCTCTTCCAATTTTTCTCTGAAGCAGTTCTAGGTATGGTATTTTCTGTGGTTTCTGGAAGCTTTTTGGTTTACGTTGAAGTCATAAGTTTTGTAATACATAGAAATAGACATGAATGCTGTGCATCACCTGCATAAAGAGGTGAGATCTTATAAAGAACAGAGATCACAGAAATATACATTTTAATCAGTTTTTAATATGAACTGCTGCCTTTTTACCATAACTAGACCTTTAATAAAATGAAGATCACAATAATGTGGAGATTTTGTTTAACATCAAGGATATTTTAATATTTTAGCAAGGTTTTTCCTGTTAGTTTTTGAAATGCCATGCAAGTCTCATGTTTTTCAGAGGAAAAGCCTTTCTACCCTAATTATATTTCATTATCATACTTATTTTTCCATTCCTCCATCACTATGTACCATTGTCCTCTGTATACACATGTATATTTACACATATGTAATTGTTATCTGTTCCACCCATTCTGAATACTATCTAGCTTAAATATGGTTTGCCATGTCCTTTAACGGGCCCTTGGATGCAATCCTGCAGCATAAAATACAAGACCCGCTCCTGAATTTTTCTCAATAATGCTACTTTGAGCTTGTATTTCAGGTGACAAGATCACAATTAAAAGGCAAATGGAAACAATTTTTAAAAACTTCACCCGAAGTTCTTCCAGTATTTTTTTCTTTTGCTTGGTTTGTGAGTTGTTGTTTTGGTTTGATTTTAAGTTGGGAGGGTTATGGTGATCACGCGTTCCTCTTCAAGACAAAGGCAGAAGGTTTTCAAGTACAATCTGACACATCCATAAGTAGGTGCTCAAGGATTCTAACTGATAGTGCAAGCTTCCATAGGAAACACACAGATGGAAATACAAACTAAAAAAAACAAGGACATTTGTCCAGCAATTACAGAATTTGAACAAAAGCTAACTACACCCCAGAGATACTCAACAATCATTTTTACAGTGGTTTTAAGCAAGATTACTTTAAGTAACTTAAATAGTACCAGCAGTAGTAGCACTAGTAACAATATGCTTATACATTGGAGCTTTTTATAAAAAAATATGGGTAATACAATTATTGCAACAATTGGTAAAACATGTATGGCCACCTAACATACTACAGATTATTATCATACAGTGCATTTCAAGAAAATCAGCCTCATTGGGAAGAATATTTTGAACAATATAGCATCACTCTGGGAGCTGCAAAGAACACACAAACTGTGATTCTCCCAAGTGTGGCAAGTTGTTTTGACATACCATTACACTATGATATTATCCTGTATGCTGATCAGTCAGCACAGTGTTTATATAACATTATTTTAATGTAATTTTTCCATTCAAATGGAAATACATGATGTTTCAAGGACAAAGAAATCTTATTTAAAGTGAAAAAATAATATATCCCAATACTACAATATTGGTACTACTTACCGATGATGAACCCAACATGGATTTTGGAGACCTTATAATTCCAGCTATGGAATGACGTATGGTGTCAAATCTTGAGACTTTATCCTTCTTGTCCTAGGAGAAAGGCCAGAATCTTTAGTGAAAAAAAGCAGATCTGTAGGATCAATGATTTATTGGAGAAAGTGCAATTTAGAATCCTGAATTTCACTGAAATAAAAGATAGGAACTTAACTGCTACAAGCCAGAAAGTGTCAATATCAGCAGGATTAGGCACAGACCAATTTAGCCACTTATAAATTCTGTATTTCCTAAAATATTTGTGCAATTTTTGAACTATAAAGAAAACTGAAATTCTTTTATACGCCAAAAACAAGAGACATAACTCCTGTTCTCCTGAAATACCTGAAATACATTTTTAGGGCTTTTCCCCTTTATTAACAGGTTCTTCTCTAACAACAGACTACCTGTAAGTATTAGCCTCCATTAGTTCAAGTAATAGAAGCCATTTCTCTTCTGACATTAGTGTATACTGTAAGTGCCACTGTCACTTCTGACAAGTCACCGTCTGAATTTAAAATTCTGCAAGAATGGTGCTCTGACGGGAACACTGAAACAGCCTTTAAGCATCTCTAGTTCAGCAGAACTCAATATAAATTCCAAGGTCTCATAAGCTGACGTAGTCTGAAGACTGTATTTTTCCTCATCTCTTACTATCAGCTCTCAAATTAATAAAAACCTTAAAAAAAAAAAAAGTATTGTTAATTTTAACATGGACAAACTGAGTTTATTGCTTGTAAATCACCTTCAGAAACAGCAAAGATACTTCAGTGAGTACTCACAAAGTATATAAACTTGAAGAAGAAAAATCTTACATTAACAATCTCATTCTAATTAGCTTTAAGTTAACTAAACTGTAAAAAACTGATAATGAAGACAGACTACAACTGTTTGCCAGTGTTACAAAGAAAAACTACTTCAAGTTTCCAATGTATACTTCTGACAGAAGAAACCAAAGCCCTCATAATGTAAGAAATGCAGCTTCAGTTTTTTCCAGGACTCCCAAACAAGCAACAAATCTGCACACCAAATTTAGCAGTCTTTGAAAATTATTTCCAAATAGAGTTTTATTTTACAAGATACAGGTTAAATGCTCTTTTAGCAAAATAACACTATTTATTTAGTAGCAGAAGTCTACAATTTGCCTTAATTTGTAAGCTAATGAATAAAAGAGTGCAAAAAAAAAAAAAAAGCCATATTGTGTAAACTATGATAGGGAGCAAATCTGCCACAGAAATACCCATTAACTATGTGCCAACTTATTCATCAATAATATTTTTATACCTTTTATCAGACTCAAGTATTGTCATATACTAAATACTTTAATTTTAGTAAAACAACTCTGTGCTGAAACCTGATTTTTATTTTTATGATGCTGCTGAATTAAACTGCTTACACAAAAAAAACCTCAAAAACCCCTAAAAACAACCAACCAACCAAAAAACCCCAGCAACAAAAAAAACCCCAAAAAAACCCCAAAAAAACCAACCAAACAAAAAAAAACCCAAAAAAACATTAACAACTAAAGATGCAAAGTCTATATTAGCTAGCATGCTGGTTGTGGAATGACCCACTTCACACATCTCTTCAGAAGTGAGCCATGAAATTTAACACCAATTAAATGTATACTTCTTACAAAACAGGAGAAAATAAGTTACCAAAAGATACACGAATTCTACTTCACTTCCCACAACCAAAACTCAAGAGTTCCATTTCAAGTGAGCACTGAAAATGTTCACTTATCTAGCAACAACACCAAACTACAAGTAAGGTTCTACATTCACAGATTTCTCATTAACAAAAAAATATTAACAAGAGGGAGCTTTTTTGACTCAAAATATCAGATTCAAGGCCTGGGACAACTTTGATAAGCACTACTGAATGACATACAGAGGCAAACAATTCCATTAAACAGGGCGAGTATTGAAATGTGGATTTAAGGGATAAACTTTGGCTTTGTTCAAAATATAGCACATGTCCTGTTCCAACTGCAGTACATATATAAACACCATTTAGCATTTCCACAGCTCTTTCCCCTGACACATTGAAACTAGTCTGTATCTTACAGCAATGAAGATTCAGAATTTGCACAGCAGGCATAACCAAATATATGACAAAACACAACTGTAGCCAGTACGGAGTTTATTTATTCCATCCAAGTATTTTTTAGGGCTACCTAGATAAAATTAAAGAGCTACAACAGTGGTCTTGTTCTGACTTTTTTTGCAATTGCCCAGCTGCAGTGTGCCTTAGAAGGAACTATTTGACCTTGCAGGAAAACCAGTTTTTCACTCAGAATATTATATAAATCAAAACAAAGGGATTTTTAATGCACATTAAATACATATTTTTTCTAAACTAGTGTGTAACTGCAACCAAGAACATCCCATCTACTTCTTTTAAAATGTATGTATTCATGTACATATGTGTGTAGAATCTTACTAATTAAATCAGGGTGTTATTTTAAGTCTGATTTACAAAATAAAAGCAAACACACATCACAGCAATCTTTCAGCGATCTCTCCCCAGCCACATCATATTTTGAACCTCCCCATCAAGATCCTCTCAATTCAACAAAGGATTTAGTAGTTGAAAGGATTATTTCAGGGTATTAGGTAATTTTAAATTTCTGCAGGAACCTAGCAGAGAGCAGAGGTACTATTCGCTCAGAAAATTCATTACAATTTCACACAGTGCTCATTCCAACAGACATCATGTCACCAAACAGAACAAACATGCCAAATATGTAGTCATGACAAAAGTTCCAAAGTTATAAGACATGTGACTATCAGATCAACAAACCTGAGCTAGACACATTATGGAGTATTACACTTACTAAGATACACAATGCAGCTACTAAAGCATATTAGCTGATTCAGTTTCATTTCCGCTTAAATTAATAACTTTCAGAGACATCATGAAAATGGTAGCATGATTTCTCACTTCTTTATTTTATACAGCACCAATTTCACTAGAAAGCAATCTAACCTGTAAGTTGTAATATTTTATGCAATAACTGAATTACTACAGAAAAAATTTGTACTCTACCGTTAAGAAGCTAGGTATGTATGCAAATACAAGCTGTCATTAGAAAACATTTAAACCTATTTCTTTTAAGTGCATTCAAACGCACCTATGTCATGAGAACACATAATGAAAAAAAACTATAGAAAATGCAGGACTGATATTTCCCTTTTTAGGACTAGACATCTGGACTCCCCAGAATGAATTTAAATTAATTATATAATAAACTAGATGTAACAGAGGCAGGGTATATCATCAGGTTTAACAATGATAAGCTGTGGGATGAGATGTCATCCCACTCACACCACTGAGATGCCCTGGGGTAGCCAGGCAGGTCAGCAGGAGAACACCTGAAAGAACACCATGGAATTTCAGCCACTCCAGAAACAAAGGCAGCTCTGCTGGGAGCCCACGGAAATGCCTCTATGCTGATGCAGATATCTGGTCAGTAAACAGGAACAACTGGAAATGAGGTCATGCTTTCAGTGCTATAACCTTACTGGTACCACTGAAGCATGGTGGGGCAACTCCTATGAAGTGTTGGAACAGAAGGATGTAAGGTTGTTCAGTTTTCTTTCCTTCTTAAAAGGAGAAACAATTATTTCAGCTTTTTTCAAGGGATGTCACAACAGAAGACAACCATTCTAACACTCTTAATTTCCCTTTCCATTCTTTCTCTTCTCACAAATGACAAAAAGGAGAAATTAAGCATAAGAAAAAAGAAGCACAGGATCCAGGTCAGTTGAAAACCACAAGTGAAGCACCTGCTATTTCACTTGAGGATTTCCTAAATTGCATCTTTATATATGAACAGAAACTGGGCTTCTGTGTTTTCTGTGTTGTCTTTGGGAGATCTTGTGCAGTGTGAGGTCCTGTGTGTTCTAGTAGATTTTTCATGACAATTCTATGGTCATGCCCCACAACAGATACATTCCTGTGGACAACGAATCTCTTATTTGCCAAGCACACAGTCCTGTCACTGAGCACAATGACTGCAAATCTTAACAGTGTATGAGAAATAATACAGTATACCCAGCAGAGTGACACAATCAAAAGGACAGACCAGATGAGTCATAGTCATAACAGTATTTTCAATGAACATAGGCAAGGAAAAGCAACAGGAAAAAAAATGATTTTGTTTAAATGCAACTGTGTGATGTAAAAGACCAGAAGAGTTTTTTAGCTGTATAAATTCAGGACTGGGCTGTATTTTAGATGTTATCATGAAAGAAAAACAGTCTATACTCTTTTTAGAAGAGCAATGAAGTAAGAGGCTGGAGAGAGATCTAAGATAAAGATAAAATAGAATTAATGCTTCCAAGGGACAGGCAGATAGTAACACTACCAAAGATGGAAGATTATCAGCAAGAGACAAAGGACAATGCAGCATATATTGAATATTCCTAAAACACTAGTCAGCCATTTATGTACAGTGATATAAGTACACCCATACTCTAGTATTATTCCATTCAAACAAAATGCGTTATGAGTCAGATGAAGCATGTGAACTGTCCACATGGATACAGAAGTTGAATGTGGGCTTGGAAATTAAAACACAAAACCTCCACAGGAAATTTAGAGGAAATGTGACTATGACTTTACAACTCAAAAAGAAAATGCCCCCCAGAAGAAAAGGAGATTTCAATTAGAAGAACATAATCAGTGATACCTAAAAGATGAGAGTGATATCACTATTTCTGTGATTTGGCTAGGGAACTGGTACTCAGATATTTTGATGAAGACTATTTCAGTACCATACAAGGGCTCTAAGATAAAACAAGAAAGGGGAATTTCAGCAGCCACTGCAAATGATATGTTCAACGAACATACAGATGAAACAGGCATACAGACAGCATCTGCCAGAGTAATTAATACAGCTTTTGTAAAGTGAATGCTAGCTTCCTTTCTTGTTTAAAGATACACATTCCCTGATGAAAAACATGCTGAATAACATTCATTTCAAGGCTTTAAATTTAGACACTGGGCACAAGGAATATTTTTGGTTTTTTGAAGTCTTTGGAAGTATGGAGTGA